AGTAACATAATACTTTTAAACATATCCTATAGGCTTATAATATTTATTTAATATTAAGTAACATTAATTACATTTAATATTCTAAGAATATGCTTAAGATATTACTTAATATTAAAATTAAAGAAATATTATACACCCTATAGGGATAGTAAAAGACATAGGTCAAAAACTTTTAACGATTTCAGATTAATGTCGTCTTTCAGATCAAGCATCGGACGCTGTGACAAAACTGCAATGAAGTGTAAAGAAATAATAATGGACGTGAATACCTATACATTTCAATTTCAGACAAAAAAATCCCAATCTTGGACAATTCTGTAGCGGGATTCTCTAAACGTCTTATTGATGATTGTCGCTGTCGTTAATTAGCGACAGGACAATCATGGAAGAAAGTACGACTCTCATTAGCTGTTGTTAATTAATATATAATAACGACAATTATCGTTTGGAAAATCTCACAACTGGTCTATAATATTTTCTAATTTTTATTGTGTCTACTCGATTTGTTTATACAAGGTATATCTGTCCATGAATCACATACGATGTGTGTTAGCGTTGATGATTCATTTCAACACACTTATAGATAATCGTCTAAACGTAATCTGTAATTGGCTATATGTAAACTCTTATCTATATCTAGAAAATTATTGCTTGAAATAAAACATTACAAATAATTGTTGTTGAGTATAACATGAATGAATGAATATAAATATATATATATATGGTAAGTATAACAGAAAATAGATTAAATATATAAAAGAAATTATGAGCGATGAGCGTGATTCAGTTATAATTAAGAGGATAATGTAATTAAGCGGGATAAATACAAGAAGAAAAGGGAAAACTAAGTTACGAGTAGAGAGAGTGCAAGAGTGGATGAATAAGAGTGAATGGATAAGTTGTAGAAATATAATAATTGTAAACCAAGTTCAAGTTTATGATTGTTGGCAGAACTAAAAGTAAATTAAGAATCAGAAATTATAAATTTGTTTCTTTATTTTTTACCGTTTTTTTTGTCGTTATATATCGCGTCTTTTTAATAATAATATCACAAAATTTTGAAATCAATATATCAAATATATCTTGAAGTAAAATCCAAAATAGAGCAAGTTAATTTTTTTTAGCAGCAATAACATTTCTAGCAGTATGTAACATTATATTTATATTAAACGTGTTTTTATTTATTGATTAGATAATTTTATTCTTTATATCAATGTTTATTCATTTTTCTGTAATATACATTTAAATGATACGGTTTATTAAGAATACACATCAGCATTTTGTTTTTTATTTCTATTATGATTTTTTTTTTATTAATTTAATACAGATCCATTTGTTCTAGAGGCAACTTACATTGTGATATATATTAATTAAAATTTATTGAATTATCGAAACAAGTATTATATAATGCAGCAACTTCGTATTTTATTTATTACAAAGTAACAAGACAATGTACAGAACCATTCCTAATATGAAAATATATTGAAAAATTTTCTTTATCATATTACATTTTATCATGGTACATATTTTAATCATAATTAGTTGTTTAAAAAATTAATGCTGAAATTATAAAAACTGTGCAACAAGCCTTAATCTCTCCAATGTATAATTAAGACTGTAAATTATTGAAGCATATCAGGTAGAATATCAGGTAGTTTTACTAATACAAAAATTAATAACCTCTTTTTAAATTTTAACTAAAAATAATAATTTTTTGTTTTGAACCGATTTTCTATTAAAATATCAATATTTTATATTTATTGTAAAAATTAGATTGAACTGAAAAAATTGCTACAATTAGATCAAATCCTTTACATATATTTATAAAAGTGATAAGTGATAATAATTTGGAAATTGATAATAATTTGAATAAGTGCTTATATTTATTGATACATTCAATTCAAGGAATCCACTAAACTAAAACATTTAACATCATTAACATCAACATTATATTACTTAATATCGTTTTATATACCATTATTACATATTTTAAATTTTCTTTAGGTAGGTGTTATTAATTAAAAAAATCTAACATAAGTTCATGTTTTTTAAAACATGAAATACAACATTAATATAATAATGCAAAACATCAATATTTATTATTACTTACAAAATTTATCGAAAATTTATATATAAAATCATCGAGAAAAAGATTATTTGTTTATACTAATAGTACCAGAATTATTGTTTTTTTTATAATAACATTTTAAATGTTGAGAAACTTTGATTTCGCTTTGTTTATAAAAAATAACAATGCATTCTTAAAATAACAACATATCTAAAACTTTTTGTATATTTAAATTTTTTATAAATTTAAATGAGAGAAAGGTAAATTTTGTTACATTAGATGTTTAGAATAAGAGCTCTCATTATAATTTAAATGATCAACATTAAATATATAATTTCATGCTAAACAAATTATAAATATGCATATTACTGTCCCTCAATTCTATGTCCAATTGATAAACATGGTGTAATAGGAATCTTCGATTTCTTCGGTCGTAACTTCAACCAAAAATCTCCATCCGGCCACAACACTAGAATTTTCTTTTTCAACGTCAATGGAATTCTAGTTTTGACGTCGAGTTCAATATCACAATGCCATAGTAAATAGAACAGCATGATTTTTATTTCTATTAGAGCGAATCTGTTACCTATGCAGATTCTAGGTCCAATACCAAATGGCATATAGACCGAGTTGTCTACATCACCATTAAGGAATCTGTCTGGATCGAACTTATCTGGATGCGGATAGTACTTTGAATCGCGGTGCAGAGCGAAAATTGGGAACCATATGCGATCTCCAGGCTTTACCACGATTGGTTTGCCATCCGAAGTCGCTGGTGGTAATTCAGTCTCTTTGACACATTTTCTTTCAAGGAAATGTGCTATTGAATACAGTCTCTGAGTTTCATTTATCACGGCGTCTAGATACTTCATGCGATTAATAGCCTCGTAGGTAGGTTCACCATTAGTCTGTTTGAGAACATCGTCGATTTCTTTTTTCAATCTTTCTTGAACATCAGGATTGATACCGATTTCGCGCGTTATGAAACACATAGCTGTTGATATGGTGTCGAATCCACCGAGAAAGAAAACGAACGCTTGGGCGGTCATTTCATTGATGTCGAACTCAGGTCCATTATCATTGTTTCTGTTCTCCATCATCAATTGAATCATGTCTGGGCGAACAATTTCCTGTTCATCTCTGGTTTTCACTGTTGTGGCAACGACATTTTTGAAAAAATTCTCTACCTTTGGACCAAACATTCTTAGCTTAAAAAGTTTCGCAAGTTGCGGGAAGTTGAGATGCATTTGAAACTTGAAAGCCATCCACGGTTTATTAAAACTTAATGCCTCCTTGCCAAGACAGAAGAATTCGTTGTTTGGATTTTTAAAAGAATCCACCTCGATACCGAAGGCGCACGTAGCTATTGTGTCATTAGTGTATCTGGAAAGCAAGTCCTTCATATCATACGTTTTGACTGCTTCTCCGGATGGCGTTGTCACAAAATTGGTTAAGTTCTCGGCACATTGGCACATAAGTCCAAACATCATTTTCATCTTGCTGGATGTGAAACTGGGACTAAGTAGTTTTCGCATTTCGCGCCAGTGATCTCCTTGTAGATCAAATAGATTTTTGCCAGCTATTGGATCAAGAATTTCGTTGACTAAGCCTTGGTGGTCGCAAAAATTATCAAACTGTTTAATAGCGATCGTGGAAATCAAATCTGGATCACGAATAACGAAGATCGGCGTTAAAAAATCGTAGAGACCGAAGAACTTTGCGTCCGGAAAGAGATTATACATTTTTTGTAGAAGCTCCATATGAGATATACGTCGAAAAACAAAAGGCGCCATATTACCCAACAATGGAATCGGTCGCAGATGAGGAATGTTTAGTTGCTCAAAATAAGATGATTTAAACTTATTCAGAACAAAATAATATAAACAAATAATCACTGTTAAAATAGTCAGAAGCAAAGTAGAAGACTCCAT